AATGCAAACCCTAAGGAGTACCAAGAGCATGAAATTCCCTCATCTAAAGCCAAAAACAAGGTGAAGGAAGTATATGTGACCGCCGATGGAACTATTCCCATGGAACAACTGAAGGAACTTGTTGAAGGCGTGATCAAAGATAACAAAGAGGGTGGTTCAAAGTCAAGCTTTACCTACTGCAAGCCTTACACTAGTAGAATTGACAACCTAGCAATGCCTGCTGGATATCAACCGCCTAAATTTCAACAGTTCGATGGGAAAGGTAGTCCAAAACAACATGTGGCCCATTTTGACAAACCTGCAATAACGCTGGAACCTATGGTGACCTGCTAGTCAAACAGTTCGTCCGATCCTTGAAGGGCAACGCGTTTGATTGGTGCACTGATCTTACTCCGGGGTCCATCGACAATTGGGAACAGCTGGAACAAGAGTTCTTGAATCGCTTCTATAGCACTAGAAGAACCGTTAGTATGCTGGAGTTGACTAACACTCGTCAATGGAAGGATGAACCTGTGATCAACTACATTGATAGGTGGAGAAGTCTGAGTCTCAACTGTAAGGACAGACTGTCTGAACCCTCTGCCATAGAAATGTGCATCCGAGAAATGCATTGGAGCCTCAGCTACATTTTACAGGATATACGTCCAAACACATTTGAAGAATTAGCTACTCGTGCTCATGATATGGAGTAAAGCATTACGGCCAATGCAACTGATGGGCTTCCTATTCAAGCCCCGCGAGTGCAGCCGCCTCATCAAAGCAATGAAAAGCAAGAAAATAAAAAGGGGGGCAAGCCTCCTTCAAGATTCAGTAATAAGGAGTTCATGGCAATAAACACAGCTCCCATGAAAATTACTACTAAGGTAAGCCGAAAGGTCACCGAAAAGATAGATTCCCCTCAAAATAGGTCGGTAAGAAGACCCACCCTAAAAGAAATGCAAGAAAAGGAATACTCCTTCTTTGAATCCGATTTACATGGGATGTTCGATGATCTTTTCAAGAAGAAACTCCTTGAACTTCCCGACATGAAGCGCCCAGAGGAAGCCGGTCAAATTAATGATCCAAATTATTGCTGTTATCACCGCTTGATTGGCCACCTTCTCACTAAATGCTTTGTCTTTAAGGACAAAATTATGGAATTAGTCCGTCAAGGAAAAATCCTTCTTGAGGAGGATAAAGTATCGATAAACCAAACAACAATAATGTTTGGGTCGGTGTGTTGTCCGATAGAAGTTTTATCCACATCAAACAGTGCTTTGTCTAAGGAGTTTGAAAAATCCTCAATTGAAGACGTTATTGAAAATGATAACGAAGGATGGACTTTAGTCACTCGAAAGAGAACTTGCAAGCCAAAAATAAAGAAGGACATCTTTTCGAAAAGCATTCGTTCGACAAAGTCTAAAATGACAATGAAACAACGAAATGCAACAAAGGAACAAAAAGGAGTTGCCACAACGCCAATTCCTTCAGATTTTCAGCTCCTTCAAGAGATTCGACAGCCCGTGACACTGAGAGAATTTATACCCAAGGGGTATTTAAGTGCCGATGCTGATAATTTCATTTCTTGTAATGTCGTCAAAGTTGAAAATCCTCAAACCACACAAATTGGCACTAAATTTGAGGAAAAACTCAAAATCGATGATAAACCACTAGTGGATTGTGCAACGACTATCATTTTTTATGATGACGATTTAACTGTTGAGTTCAAAACCCACAATCGACCTTTGTTTGTTAGTGTGTATGTCCGAGAACAGAAGATGAATCGGCTACTCATTGATGGGGGATCTACTGTCAATATTATGTCCGTACGTGTTATGAAAGAACTATGAATCTCAAGTGATGAACTCTCCCAGAGCCGCCTCATGATCCAAGGATTTAACCAAGAAGGGCAAAGAGCAATTGGTCTCATAAGGCTTGAATTGCTCATTGATGAGTTGTCTTCAAATGCATTATTTCATATCATTGAAGCCAAAATCTCTTATAATATGCTCTTGGGACGACCCTGGATTCACGAGAATGAAATTATACGGTCTACTCTGCATCAATGTTTCAAATATTGTCGAGACGGTATAGTTAACAAAGTTGTTGCCGATGATAAACCTTTCACTGAGGCCGAGGCTCACTTTGCCGATGCCAAACTTTACCTTCAGAAAGAAGCAAAAAGAAAAGAATCAGTAAAGGAAGAAAGTCAAGATTTTAAAGTACCTATTTTACGGTATATTCCAAGATCAAAGAGAGGAGAATGTCAGTCTTCTTTTATCAGGAATGATACATTAAATGTTTCGCTCACCAAAATAGAGCCTGTTAAAAGTGAGAAAGCGAGCTTGCAAGGATTTGTTCGTTCCAAAGAAGAACCGGCAGTAGAACATTACTCACTACCAACTAATCAGACTCAAGAAGGTTTTGATCCAAACGCATATAGACTTCTTGCTAAGGCCGGTTATAACACAAATGAGAAGCATACATTAGGCAAACTCCTTCCTGAGGTAATTGGCGAGAAGACTCATAAATTAACACCTACGCAGAAAATATTGAAAAAAAAAGATTATAATGTTGAAAGTTCATCGATGGGTCTTGGTTATCAACCGCCTTCTCCAGTGCGTATAATGATCACAAGGGCAAGTTATAACTACGTGAACGAAGAAATGGAGGTCACAAGTCGAAAGAGATCTGTGTTCGATAGGTTGGGAAATAAGTCAAAGCATACTTCTGTGTTCGACAGACTTGGCCCGCAGCCGAAAAATTTGAAACCGCCCGTCTATGAAAGATTAGGCAGTAAAAAGCAAGAGTATCAAGTTGCCAAGGAAGAAAGTCTTACTCCAATAAAGAAAAACGGACCAAGAAAGCGAGTCTCTAATTTCTTCATGCACTATGGAGATTTATTCAATGTAAGAATTGAAACCATTTTTGAAGAGTAGGGTCAAGAAAGTATGGCTTCCTGTCATCATATTACGATCAGTGATCCCGAAGAAGAAGAAGAAGATGCGGATGACGCTCCCACTGAACTTGAACAAGGGGTAAAAAATACAGTCGATGTGTTAAAGGTGATTAACCTTGGCACAAGCGACGATCCTCGCCCAATTTACATAAACTCTTGTATGACTCCTGAAGAAGAGAAAGAGTATGTTGATTTGCTGCTCGAATTCAGGGACGTCTTTGCCTGGAATTACTTAGAAATGCCTGATTTGGATCCAAGGATCGCCGTTCATAATTTGTCTGTCAAGCGAGGAACAAAACCTGTCAAGCAAACTCAAAGGCGCTTTCGGCCCGAATTGATTCCTCTGATAGAAAATGAGATAAATAGATTGATTGAAACTGGGTTCATACGGGAAGTGAAATATCCAACATGAATTTCAAGCATTGTCCCTGTGAGGAAGAAGAATGGGCAAATCCGAATTTGTGTTGATTTTTGAGACTTAAATAAGGCTTGCCCCAAAGATGATTTTTCACTTCCAATCACAGAATTGACGGTAGATGCTACAACCGGGCATGAAGCATTATCTTTTCTCGATGGATCGTCTGGCTACAATCAAATATGCATGGTGCCCGAGGATGAGTAGCTCACTGCCTTCCGCACCCCCAAAAGAATTTATTACTATAAAGTAATGTCGTTTGGCTTGAAAAACGCTGGAGCGACATATCAAAGGGCAATGCAAAGAATTTTTGATGATACGCTCCACAGAAATGTAGAGTGCTACGTTGATGACCTTATGGTGAAATCAAAGAAGCGAAAAGATCATATTCAAGACTTTCAAAGAGTTTTCCAACGCATTCGGAGATACCAACTGAAGATGAATCCTTTGAAGTGCACATTCGGAGTCACTTCTGGCAAGTTTCTCGGTTTCATCGTTCATCAACGGGGGATAGAGGTCGATCGATCTAAAATTGATGCCATTGTGAATATGCCTGAACCGTAAAATATTCATGAATTGAAGAGCTTTCAAGGGAAGTTGGCTTATATCCGGAGGTTTATCTCTAATTTGGCCGGACGATGCCAACCCTTTAGTCGACTGATGAAGAAAGGGGTGCCCTTTGAGTGGGATGAATCGTGTAGGAATACTTTTACAAGCATCAAAATGTATCTCATGAATCCCCCAGTGTTGGCTGCGCCTATTCCAAGAAATCCATTGATTCTCTATATTTTCGCTCAAAAACGGTCAGTTGGGGCCTTACTTGTTCAAGAAAATGATGAAGGTAAGGAGAATGCGCTGTATTACTTGAGTCGGATGATGACATCTAATGAGTTGAATTACTCACCCATCGAGAAGTTGTGTTTGACACTTATATTTGTCATTCAGAAGTTGAAATATTATTTTCAAGCACACACTGTTCGACTCATATCTAAGTCTAATCCCATTAAATATATCATGGCAAAACCTATACTATCTGATCGGCTCGCGAGATGGTACCTCCAGTTTCAACAATTCGAAATTATTTATGTACCTGCAAAAGCTGTCAAAGGACAAATATTGGCAGACTTTTTAGCTGATCATCCTATACCTGTCGAGTAGGAGTTGACTGATGAACTTTCCGATGAAAAAGTGTTTATGTTCGAATCCCCGTGGTTGATGTATTTAGATGGAGATATTCACCGTGATGGAACTGGTGCGGGAGTTGTCTTTTATACCCCTGAAGCAGATATATTACCGTACTCTTTCACTTTAACACGCCGGTGTTCAAACAATGTGGCCGAATATTAGGCATTGATTCTCGGTCTGGAAACGGCCGTAGACATGAAGCAGTTGCATCTTAGGGTCTATGGTGATTCCAAATTAGTGGTAAATTAATTTCTTGGTATTTATGATGTCAAAAAGCCTGAATTGATCCCATATTATAAGTATGCAAGACAACTCATGGGATATTTAGATAATGTCACTATAGAACATATCTCTAGAAATTTCAACCAACAGGCCGACTCTTTGGCAAAGGTGGCGTCCAAGATCACTCTACATTCTCATCGAAAATAAATTTCAATATGTCAAAATTGGGTCATACCTCCGATGTTCGATGAAGAAGATGCTGGTGAGGAAGAAAATGCGTATCATATTTTTGTCCATGAGATCGAAAAGGAGGATTGGCATCACCTCATCATTGATTACCTTAATCATGGGAAGTTACCAGAAGATCCCAAGAAAAGGGTTGATATACGTCGTCGAGCGCCACGTTTCATTTACTACAAAGGGACGCTCTACTGAAGATTATTCGATGGGGTGTTTCTACGATATTTTGGAGAAGATGAGGCCATGCAAGCAATGGAAGAGGCTCACTCTGGGATATGTGGTGCTCACCAATCTGGCCCAAAATTACACTTCCGCATTAAGAGAATGGGATACTACTGGCCGACGATGGTAAAAGACTATCGATTTTGCTAGAAGATATCAAGCTTGTCAATTCCATGGCAATTTCATCCGTCAACCTCCTGAGCCATTGCATCCAACTGTGGTTTCTTGGCCGTTCGATACTTGGGGTTTGGATATAGTTGGACCGCTCCCAAAATCTTCTGGAGGACACATTTTCATTTTGGCGGCAACGGATTATTTCTCAAAGTGGGCTGAAGCGGTTCCTCTAAGAGAGGTAAAAAAGGAGAATGTAGTAGATTTCATTCGCTCGCACATCATTTATCGATATGGAGTCCCGCGTTATATCATTACGATAATGGTAAACTTTTTTGCAATGTAGCTATGAACAAACTTTGTGAAAAGTTTCATTTCAAACAATACAATTCGTCCATGTACTACGCTGCCGCAAATGGACTCGCTGAAGCATTCAACAAGACCTTATGTAATCTGTTGAAGAAAATCGTGGATAAATCGAAAAGGGATTGGCATCTTCGAATTGGAGAAGCACTTTGGGCATACCAAACTACTTTTCGAACTCCCATGGAAGCGACCCCATACGCGCTTGTTTACGGTGTTGAAACTGTTCTTCCACTTGAGTGTCAAATACCTTCGCTAAGAATTGCGATTCAAGAAGAGCTCAGTGAAGAAGATAATGTTCGTCTTCTCCTTGAGGAGTTAGAAGCACTCGACTAAAAGAGATTGGAAACTCAACAACGAATTGAGTGCTATCAAGCCCGCCTTTCAAAAGCATTCAATAAGCATGTCCGGTCACGCTCTTTCCAGATTGGAGAGTTAACACTCGTTGTTCGGAGATCGATCATTCTCACTCATGGCGGACAAAGAAAGTTTACTCCTAAGTGGGATGATTCATATGTTGTTCGAGAAGTGTATACAAATGGCTCCTACAAGTTGGTTGCTGAGGATGGATTAAGGATTGGCCCCATTAATGGCAAGTACCTAAAAAGGTACTATGCGTAATCGGAACCGCGCGATGCTCCTGGCCCGCATGAGCCAAAACTGTGGATGGCGATCACCAATAGTGTAGTATGTGGTTAAACTGCTAAAACACTCCACCAAGTCTAATGTGGTAAACAAATAGATACTCTTGGCCCGCATGAGCTAAAACTGTGGATGGCAATCGGCAATCACCAATAGTGTAGTATGTGGTTAAACTGTTGAAACACTCTACCAAGTCTAAGGTGGTATACAAATAGATACTCCTGACCCGCATGAGATTAAAATGTGAATGACAGGAACTACGTGTGACTTGATTCCCTTGTTGGGATACGTAGGCAGCTTGGAAGGCAACTTCTAAGTTCAGTACACCTGCTAAATCAAACCTTTTTTCCTTGCAAAAAAAAAAAGGTCTCTTCTTTTTCTTTGAAGATAAAATGCTAAATTTAGAAGTTCTTTTGTCTTAAAAAAAATAAAAAAAAAACAAGAGATAAGAAATGAAAAGCATTTTATTATTCAAAAAAAAATCATTACAAGAAAAAAAAAAGGGAAAAAGACATGGTGAAAGATCTCAATGTCAAATTTGTAGTCCACTACAGCTATTTTACATGATTCCAGTGCAGACTTCATATCTTCAAGTTCTTTCACTGCGTCATCAGTCAAGATGCCGATACTTTCAATAGAAGAGAGCTCATCATGTGCTCGGGTTATTTCAGTCTAGATCTCTTCGAAAGTTTCATGCTTTTGATCGATAGTTGAGCTGATTTCCAGACCTTATTTCTCCAAATTGATAAGTTCCTGTTGCAAAACTTTCTTTCTGTCTTCAATAGACTGCAACTTTTCTTCAAGACTTTGCAGATGACGAGTTAGTTCTTCTTTATTCGCCTTAGCTCTCCCGAGTTGGCCGGTCACTTTGGAAATGAGTTCTATATGTGTTTCTTTACTCATCTTTTTCCATGACGAAGATGCCAAAACGTCATATGCCTCCGCCTTGGCAAACAATTCTATCAAGAAGTCCTTTAAAGGGAGACCATTGGTGGGATCCGTTCTTGTGATTTCCGCAATGATTTCCTCTGCGCACTCTTTTAAAGAAGAGATCTGCTCAATAAGAGTGTCAAGAATCTGTCCGCGAAAATCCATCCACAAACACTGCAAGTATTTTCTTCAATGCGTCTGGATCAACTTTTGGCCATGAAACTCTGAAACCAATGCTACCTTAGGTCTTTTTCGGATTTCGTGCGAACTAGTCAACTCCTTCTTATGCGTTGACGAGGTACCTTTATTGGGGACAAGTTATTTTGGAATGCTGATAATGACTTCGTCACTTTTCTTGTTTGAAATTATATCATCAGCTTCGAGTTTGGGTGGTGAATTGTTACCAACACCTTCTTGACGGAATTCAAGAAACGGGGGCTGGAAAAAAAAGTTACAAAAAAAAAAAAAATTGAGAGATGATTACCTTAAGTGGCGACACTCCAACTGACGGTGGTGTAAAGGAAATCTCTTCCAAATCAGAAGATGTCCTCTTCTTTGATCGGTTCCAATGACGGTCTTGACTACTGCTACCGCTTGCCAACAAATGAGTTTCTCCTTTGGTAGATCCGATGCCCTGAACTTGAGTCCCTTCATTTTCTATAACCTCGATAGAATCACGATCGACCACCATTTCAATTTCGATATCTTCTTCTGTGCGAGTCACGGATAAGGATTTTGAAACTTTAGGTGGCGTCTTCTTGGTTGGGATCATTGGTTGCGCCTCTTTGATGGCCTGCCGAGAGTTCTTGGAAGACTTATTTTTTGTGACGATGTTTTTCGAGGGACTGCTAGTAATTTTGTTCTTCCGCAAGGTGGATGAGGTAATACCCGTTACAATCTCTATAACTCAATTATGATCAGAAGTAACCTTACTTTTCTTCGAAGATTGTTGAGGGATCTTAACGGTAAATTTAAAGGAAGTAGAAGAGACACTATTTGACCGAGTCAACCACCAGGCGTCATAGTTTTTTGTGAACAATGGATGCTTCCTGTGCGTGGGTATAGTCATCCGAGATCATGTCTGCGTGCGAACTGAGGAATCCCATAGTTGAATAACCTCACCTAAAGTATAAGTATGAGTGATCTCTTTCAAGTTGTTGGGAATGTCTTGACAGAAGCCGAATTGTCTACTAAACCTGCAAGAATTATATTTTTCAATAATGAAAGTATTATCCTTACGTAGAGTTAAATGGCAAGAGCGTTGACTAATAAAGTAGCTCGTAAGTCTTGATGATAAGGATCCATCGTCGATCAACACCTTTTCTTCATTCTCAGTCCAACACAATTTGGGAAGCATCAAAGGATTCACTTCTTTGAAGATTTCCTCAACTTCTGATTGGCCATAAAATATTGTCATTTTCTCACCACTAAATCTTGTCATGTGCGCGTGGTGGCTACTCACTTGATTGTTTTCATAATATACATCGAAGTATTGGCCAATCCAAGTATAGACGTAATGGATTGGAAAAGTTACCCCACATTCTCCAAGGTTAGGGGCGTGGACGATTTCCCTCAACCCATGATATATGCTCGCAAGAACGGGAATTGCAATGCAAAATCTTTTCCCTGTGGTCATTAAGCATGCAACCTTGAAGACACTTAGGCGAATACGATCGACCTTTTTGCTTGGCAAAAGGAACTTACAAATCCAACACGCTATGAATGTCGCACTATAGGTTTCCTTTCTTAAGAACCCTAGGATATCCAGTGTGTCGAAAGGGATATTGAAGTCCTTCGTATCAGCAAGGTCGTATGGCTCTACGCATCCAGAAGGGTTGTAAGTCATTTTCGATTTAGATGTGGTCTTTCTTCTATTTGCCCTATTCGGAGGAGCCCTATATCTAGCCTCTCATTTGAACCAGAAGCGAATCCAGTCTTTCATCCATACCCCTTGGTCATTCGTCCAAAGGTGGTAGTAAGCGAAAAAGAGGTGGCTGCAACTCTCAGGAAGAAGTGACTTCTCTTCTTTGTCACGAGTGAGAAGCTCTTGCGCCGAAAGAACAACTTCATCAAAGAACGAGCCATCGATCGAAAGGCCACCAAGTCGATAAAGGTCCCAAAGTGTGATGGACAACTCCCCGACCGGCGTATGAAGTGTATTTGTCGAGGGACACCAATATTTGAAGAAGGCTCGCAAGATATTTTCACAGTGGTCGTAGGAGTATCGCGACGCGTAGACAGATTTAAATATGCCAGCACGGGTAAGCACTTCTTTATACCTTCCGAGGATGTCCTCGACCCATTTCCAATAATGAGAAATGAAGCACGCCTCGCCAAAGAAGGACGAAGGGATCTTCCATGTAGTTTTGTCAATATTGAATCCCACGAACGGAAGCGTGAATTTGGCTATTTCTGAGTCTCCATTGCGAAGTAACGAGTTTAATACGACCACTTCTTCTTTCCTCGACGTAGTAGAGAAAGTTGATGATGCCACCACTTCCTTGGTCCACTTGCTAGTCCAATCCTCAAGATGAAAGCATCCTTCAAGTGGTATAAAAGATTCAGCGAACGTGCCGATTGCTGGTTTATGAACATGTAGTGACAAGCTCGTTGATTGAGGTCCTCCCCGTTGATCCGTTAATGAAATATGTGGCAATGGAGTGGCGTAATCCTTAATTTGCATGCTTGCTGAAATTTTACAAAATGTTAGGGGATGAAGGGAAATTCTTACAAATTTTGGTAATTAGAATTACCTTGCCTTTTCCCAAGTCCCCAAAATTGCTTAAACCGGTTCTTCAAGCACGGTTTTGGTTCTCTACGAAGAAGCAAGTTAATAAAGTTAAGATCGAAATTATGTATGATAGAAATATTTGGGATGGAAAAAATAATTGGTGTGGAAGTTGAGATAAAATTTCCAACCCTAAGGAATAGCTCAAATAATATTTTGAGCCAATCTTCATTCTCAAATAATATTTAAAGGGCATACATGATTTCGAATAATATTCAAAAGGCACCTCAAGTAATATTTTGAGCCAATCGTCATTTGGTTAATTTCAATCTTCCAGTCGAGACCCAAGCTTCATTTTCAAATAATATTTTGAGAATTTATTTGGTAAGGCCGTGAGGCTCTAAGTTTCTCAATTGACCGAAGCTTCTTGTAACAATTAAATATTGCGAGTAAAAAAAAAGGGGCTTCGAGTACCTGGTAAGCGAAAAGAAAGTGTTGAAGTGCAACCAATGGATGGCGATTGACGCTTGCGGCTCGGCAACGGTGATAACCAGCTTCAAATTGTCTCTATTGGTCAAAGGACAGCAAAGCTAACAATAAAAGGCAAGTAAAAGTGAGATGGGATGTTCACGAATGAGTAATAAAGAGGTTACAATTTCGACAGGTCAATCGAGTATCGAGTTTGGACGTCAAAAAGGATTGGTGGGGTCTTACTTGTAAGGGGCTAATACATTAATCCGTTTCATTGTGCAACTTTAAAAAGCCATTTTGCTTTGTTAGATGATCATGAAGTGTCTAGAGTCCGATACAACTTGGTGGAGATACTTGTAATCAAAACATGCAAGGATTCATATATTAATTCACCTCAAGCTATGAGACCCGACAATCATGTCATTTTATAATAGATTGATGATTCAAATTTCCAGGTCCAAGCCGTGGCAGATTGGTATGTAACACCGCAAGTAGTAGTCATATGCAAAGTGCCGAAACAAATTAAAGTATGCAGGCAAATCAACGGTACAAAAAGCTTCTATATCTTGCATGCACAGTCACTACCATGCCAAAAGTATGAATATTTATAGTGGACAAAGAGTCGAGATGATCACCTCTAAACCGGCGCGATGTTAGTAGTAGGATCCCACACTAGTAGCGACAAAAGGCTGGCACCAGCAGCTATAGCAATTCTTGACAGCAATTTTCGAGTTACGAGCTGCAAGAGAGCATTGGTAGCAGCGACAGAGCTACTCGGCAATAGCAAAAAATTATTGTTGTTTCTAACTTCTCACAAGTGAACCTACGGCTCTAGTCGTGATTATTTATACTAGTAGCATTGTGTTGGGTCCGAGGAGAATCCGGATGAAAGGTGGTTTCAATTTGGATAAGGGTAAACTCCTAATCCTGTATGGATTGTTGTCAGGATGCAATTTCATGTACAATTGAAAAGGGAGCCATGCAAGCTTTATGGTTTGGAGTCAATATGTGGAGAAGTCTGGAGCTTGCTGTGTTTTTTTTCTTTCCATGTGATTATAAAGGACAAAGCTTCAATTCATGTTGGACTTGGAGGGAATTATTTTCACAACCAACTTCTATAGGCTGATTGATTCCTTGAAGAACTTGTGTTGGGTTGCTCTTCAAGCTTCGGCCTTATCACAAAAAGGACCTCAATTGTTTAAGTTCATCAAGGATACAAATCCTAGAAGTTCGACAAGAAGCTAATTGATTTGGACCTTGAATCTTGCGCAGCAGTGGAGTTCATAATTGATCAAAAAACAGGATGCCTGTCTCATAATTGAAGTTGGAAGCCCTCTAGGCCAATTGAAAAGCGATTTACATGCAAGGTGCACACGAGACAAAAGCTTAAGTGATCACCTACGGGATGGAATTCTAATTGAATCACTATATGATTCCTATTCGGATATTAAAACCCTCTTGGGGTCGGCTCCTTACTTAAGTGATTTACTTTACAAGAGTTATCTCCGCAAAGCTTCGGAACTTAGGAAGAATTAAGTTCTTCAATT